TGTTTAGAAGGCCCTACCCCATAAAAATAGGGCAGAATAAATCATTAAAATAAAACCCAAACCTTTCCTTCTGTGTATGTTTTGCAACTAGATCACCAGTACACTATTTCTTGGTTCATCTCTGTACTTTTCAGGGAAAAAAAAATCAGTATTTATTTAGAGTGCCTTCATCTACTTGCAAGCCAAGGGAAATAAGAAGAACCCGCGTAGAAGCTTCCAAAGTCTTCAGGGAAATAGACATTGTGACACCAAGTTCTACCATCAGACTACAGGAATCTGCCATTTTCTTGGACTACATGGCTCTCTGGAGCCTCGTGTATCCTGGGAGGATGGGGCAGGAGGGAGAGCAGCCATGAAAATGTGAAGGCAAGTCCAGATCGCCCAGCTCTTACCTCGCCCATCCAGCGGTCTTGCCCTTTGCTCTTGCCTGTGAGTAAAGAGCTCGGCCCACAGTTTTCTCCTTAATGGAACTTGTAAATGTCGTGCCATCCACAGTCCTAGAACAAGACAGAAGTCAACAGTTGGCCAGATAAGTAGCTCAGAAAAACTAACAAATGACAAACAATCAGCTAGATTTCATGAATGGAGACAACAATGATTTTGAATCTACAGGCAGCAAGAAGAAAGATATTTAGATAACTTATAGATAGGACTCTTATTTTATTTAATTTTTGTGATTTTTCATACAATATAATTTGATGGTATTTAGATCCTGTAACCTATCTACACCTCCCCCCACTGCCTCCCACCCAATTTAATGTTCTCTCTCTCTCTCTCCCCCTCTCCCTCTCCCTCTCTCTGTTAGCCTACAGAGTCTGATTTGTGTCCCCAAATGTCCTTGGGTTGTGATTTGAGAGGTTAGGCTGGGTTTTAACTCCCCAAATTTCTCTCAAGTACTATTATGTGTGTTTAAGTTTTTCCATATTCAAATCTCATGCTTTGAATGAAAAGATTTTTGGGGGTGAGATAAGTCTTCTGAATGACACTGATAACTAGGAGAGGTGGCTGACAAATCACTCATTAGTGGATTTCCATTTGACTTATCAGATCATTTTTCTGGCAAATAATTAAAGAATTAAACATAACTGGAGGTAAATGGATTGAGCATTGCCAAAATTCATAGATTGAATTCTCTATTCTAATCTGATAGCTTAGAAGGTGAGGATGTTCAGAGACAATTAGATCATGAGAGTGGAACCCTGATAAGTAGGATGAGGATGTTTTATTAAAAACTGGGAATCCTAAGAGCTCTCGTGCTCCTCTCCACCATGGGAAGGCAGCACAAATGAAAGTCATCTATGAATCAGTGAGACTGCACCAGGCACCAGATCGGCACCAGATTGTACCTTGCTATTGAATGTACCAGCCTCCAAATCTATGAGAAACAAGAGTAACTTTTGTTGTTTACACCCACCCAGCCCTATAATATTTTCTTATGGCAGCACCAACTGATTAAGACATGGCTGGATGCTGTCTTGTAAGGATGAAAATATGTGGAAAGTCCATGGTGAGCCCCTTCTAAAGTTGCTGTTTCTCTCCCCAGTATCTCCCTCGGGGACCTCCATCTTCTTTCATATCTCTGTCTATCCATCTTACTGTTAGCTGGATAGTACCTAATTCTCACTAAGAAATGGTGGAAAGAATAGAATTTTAGAATTTTAGGTGGAAGCTTAACAGTACTTAAATGGGCATCTCTCCTAAAGAAGCATTTAGAAATAGATGGGAATGCTCATGGTTACAACGTCCTGGAAAGCAGTGACTAAGGAAAAAGACAAGTGTAGCCAGATTAATCCACTTGTCAGAGACATAGTAGAGGCATTCAGACACTGGATAAGACATTGGGTTTAATTACTGGTTCTCAATAAAGAAATGATTGACATGGCACTGACTTACTGAAAATACACTCATATGTGGTATCCTATAAGCTAGAGGAAACTTTACATATTTTTATTTCACAGAGAAAGTATATTTCAATGCAAGTATGTAGAAGATGGTTACCATAGAGATAACCTTAAGTTTGCTTTAATATACTATAAGTATAAGCAAGGGCTGAGGAGATAGCTTAGGCAGCAAAGTGCTTGCCATGCAAGCATGAGTTTGATCCTCAGCACCCACATAAAAGCTGAACGTGGTGGTATATGCTTGTACTCCGAACACTGGGCATGAAAAGACAGGTAAATCTCCAGAGTTCTCTGGTAAGTTCTAAGCCAATGAGAAAAAAGATGGATAGTACCCGAGAAGATACCCAAGGTTGATCCCCCCCGACAAATTTTTCATAGATCTGATGCTTTGAGTAGAAACAAACACAAGGTCCCATCCCAAGTGACTCTTGTTGTGAAGCAGGACCATAGCTCAGGAAGCGAGATCCACATGAGCAGTGGATCACTAAGGTCCATCTTAATGGGAGGACTTTTGATTCCAAGATAGAGAAGTAGCTAGTTCCTGATTCTTCATAAAAGTTACTCACATGGAGAAGTTGGAGATGAAGGCTCCTTTAGGGATCTGAACATCAAACACGACATTTTGCGGCTGTGGGGAATTGTTCACTAACTTGCTCTGGATGATGGTTGTGGCCATTCGAGAAGTAATGGTGGATTGGACTTTGTAGCTATAAAGAGTTACTTGATCACCATCCTCCTGAAAATGGCAAGAATGAATAACAGCACTAATACAAAGGCCACATGGAATGCTACTATGTATACGGTGTTACAAGGGGTGTCTTTTACTTGGTATGAAAAATTCTAAGGCATTTGATAAATATATAACCCAAAGAATTGCTAAGCAGTGTTCTAACTTCTTGCAGCACCCCAAGGGAAGAAGTTGTGAGATATCTCCGTCCTTTTCTCCCTCTCTCCATTCTTCTGCCTCCTTCCCTCCTTCCCTTCCCCTCCTTCTTCCCTTTCCCCTTCCTTCCTTCCTTCCTTCCTTCCTTCCTTCCTTCCTTCCTTCCTTCCTTCCTTCCTTCCTTCCCTCCCTTCTTCCCTTATCTTAGAATCTAAGCAGAAAATGAATGTGGGAAGCAAGATAGCCTGAGAAAGTTCAGGAAATAATTCCTAATGTAGAACCATAACTAGAGGAAGGAGACAGAATCACAGGGTTGGAAGAGGATCCTGGCTGTGCCTTTAGAGTGAGAAGCAACGAGGGGAGCCGTGCGGTGAACTCTACATGCAATACCCCAAACTCCACGTTGCTACCTATTTTCTTCGGTTTCATCGATTACTGTTTCATCTTTTACCTTCAGTTTTCTTCTCTTTCCCCAAACTAAAATAAGCTAAGAGAATGCTGAGGCATTGTCCTGGAAAGAACATTTTGATGAAATTATTTATCTAATACTTTGTATCACCTTTTGCATTCTTCTCTTCAGATTTAAGGCAGCCCCGGTGCAAAAAAACAAAGTCAAAGCAAAATATCAGTGTGATCAAAAGCAAGGCATGAAAAACATCTTTGGGATATGCCTTCAGATCCGCAGCAATTGTGTGACTGATTAGATTTTGCTTTTCCTTCCTCCAAGAGCTTGCTTATTTCCATATTAGGTCTCATCCCCCAAACTTTGTTGTCAAGGCTTAAACCTTCTAACTAGTTAGCCCCCAGCCCATCTCAAACTAAGATAAAATCCAGGTCAATTTATTTGCCCTCCGTCTTGTTTCCAATGGACTCTCTTAGTCCAGAACAGGAAGCCAACATAAATCATTTCCTTTGGATGTTCTCTTGTCATAGGAAGGTCTACTTTGGACATTCCTGGATATCGAGCCATGTCACCTTTAACAGTTGCTTTCTAGAGTCACTCTTCTATACTCTATTGCTGTCAGGTGTCATATTTTAAAACCAAAGCTGTTAAGTGGGGATGCATACATGTCGTTGGGTGAAGCCTACGTCATTGATTAAACTTGAGAGGATGAGACGGGGCCTTTTCTTCTCCCAGTGGTCCCTGGTCTGCAAGTACTGCACTCTTATTCTGAATTTCAGAAACTCTTCCAAACAGAATTGGGCAAGGAAGTGTTTCAAAAGTCAGATAAATACTCCCAATGACAAAGACAAAGGAGACAGCTGAATTGATTTTCAGGTAATAGTTAACAGGAAAATCACTCAGACGTCAATGTGTAACTCAACCAAAGCAAACTTACCATCTTCTCTCCTGAGTCTTCAGAAAGACTTCTCTGTGAAAAGAAGTCAGAAAATCATCCTTCAACCACATGCCACTTATTACTCAAGAGCAAAAAACATTTTCTTCATCAAAAGAGTATTTTCCTTCACTTCCATGCTATAATTCATTCATTGGAACCATATAAATATGGAATATTCTGGAAACAGGAATGTGTTTCTCTGAACAATGTTCTGTCATTTTTGTTGGCCTGTGCATTGCTCTATGGTATAATATCATCAAAGTTTTCAGGTCTCAACTTTGGCAGAACTTTCTAGATGAAATTACCAATCCCTAGGCCAGCTTTACTGTTTTGAGAACAGGCGTCCTTTTTTTTTTTTTTTTTTTTTTTTTTTTTGGTCTTTTTGAGACAGGGTCTGAAGAGAAGAATGCAAAAGGTGATACAAAGTATTAGACAAATAATTTCATCAAAATGTTCTTTCCAGGACAATGCCTCAGCATTCTCTTAGCTTATTTTAGTTTGGGGAAAGAGAAGAGAACTGAAGGTAAAAGATGAAACAGTAATCGATGAAACCGAAGAAAATAGGTAGCAACGTGGAGTTTGGGGTATTGCATGTAGAGTTCACCGCACGGCTCCCCTTGTTGCTTCTCACTCTAAAGGCACAGCCAGGATCCTCTTCCAACCCTGTGATTCTGTCTCCTTCCTCTAGTTATGGTTCTACATTAGGAATTATTTCCTGAACTTTCTCAGGCTATCTTGCTTCCCACATTCATTTTCTGCTTAGATTCTAAGATAAGGGAAGAAGGGAGGGAAGGAAGGAAGGAAGGAAGGAAGGAAGGAAGGAAGGAAGGAAGGAAGGAAGGAAGGAAGGAAGGAAGGAAGGAAGGAAGGAAGGAAGGAAGGAAGGAAGGAAGGAAGGAAGGAAGGAAGGAAGGAAGGAAGGAAGGAAGGAAGGAAGGAAGGAAGGAAGGAAGGAAGGAAGGAAGGAAGGAAGGAAGGAAGGAAGGAAGGAAGGAAGGAAGGAAGGAAGGAAGGAAGGAAGGAAGGAAGGAAGGAAGGAAGGAAGGAAGGAAGGAAGGAAGGAAGGAAGGAAGGAAGGAAGGGGAAAGGGAAGAAGGAGGGGAAGGGAAGGAGGGAAGGAGGCAGAAGAATGGAGAGAGGGAGAAAAGGATGGAGATATCTCACAACTTCTTCCTTTGGGGTGCTGCAAGAAGTTAGAACACTACTTAGCAATTCTTTGGGTTATATATTTATCAAATGCCTTACAATTTTTCATACCAAGTAAAAGACACCCCTTGTAACACCGTATACATAGTAGCATTCCATGTGGCCTTTGTATTAGTGCTGTTATTCATTCTTGCCATTTTCAGGAGGATGGTGATCAAGTAACTCTTTATAGCTACAAAGTCCAATCCACCATTACTTCTTGAATGGCCACAGCCATCATCCAGAGCAAGTTAGTGAACAATTCCCCACAGCCGTGAAATGTCGTGTTTGATGTTCAGATCCCTAAAGGAGCCTTCATCTCCAACTTCTCCATGTGAGTAACTTTTATGAAGAATCAGGAACTAGCTACTTCTCTATCTTGGAATCAAAAGTCCTCCCATTAAGATGGACCTTAGTGATCCACTGCTCATGTGGATCTCGCTTCCTGAGCTATGGTCCTGCTTCACAACAAGAGTCACTTGGGATGGGACCTTGTGCTTGTTTCTACTCAAAGCATCAGATCTATGAAAAATTTGTCGAAGGGGGATCAACCTTGGGTGTCTTCTAGGGTACTATCCATCTTTTTTCTCATTGGCTTAGAACTTACCAGAGAGCTCCGGAGATTTACCTGTCTTTTCATCCCCAGTGCTGGGAATACAAGCATGTACCACCACGTTCAGCTTTTATGCGGGTGCTGAGGATCAAACTCATGCTTGCATGGCAAGCACTTTGCTGCCTAAGCTATCTCTTCAGCCCTTGCTTTTCACTTATAGTATATTAAAGCAAACTTAAGGCTATCTCTATGGTAACCATCTTCTACATACTTGCATTGAAATATACTTTCTCTGTGAAATAAAAATATGTAAAGTTTCCTCTAGCTTATAGGATACCACATATGAGTGTATTTTCAGTAAGTCAGTGCCATGTCAATCATTTCTTTATTGAGAACCAGTAATTAAACCCAATGTCTTATCCAGTGTCTGAATGCCTCTACTATGTCTCTGACAAGTGGATTAATCTGGCTACACTTGTCTTTTTCCTTAGTCACTGCTTTCCAGGACAAAATGGTTGACAGCTCTGTTAGACTTATTTCTTATACTTAATATTATCCATTTGAGCATGTCTAGCATTCTTGTGGCCTATAAATACCAGTGGCACTTTATAATCACTGTTGTAACCATGAGCATTCCCATCTATTTCTAAATGCTTCTTTAGGAGAGATGCCCATTTAAGTACTGTTAAGCTTCCACCTAAAATTCTAGAATTCTATTCTTTCCACCATTTCTTAGTAAGGATTAGGTACTATCCAGCTAACAGTAAGATGGGTAGACAGAGATATGAAAGAAGATGGAGGTCCCCGAGGGAGATACTGGGGAGAGAAACAGCAACTTTAGAAGGGGCTCACCATGGACTTTTCACATATTTTCATCCTTACAAGACAGCATCCAGCCATGTCTTAATCAGTTGGTGCTGCCATAAGAAAATATTATAGGGCTGGGTAGGTGTAAACAACAAAAGTTACTCTTGTTTCTCATAGATCTGGAGGCTGGTACGGTACATTCAATAGCAAGGTACAGTCTGGTGCCGATCTGGTGCCTGGTGCAGTCTCACTGATTCATAGATGACTTTCATTTGTGCTGCCTTCCCATGGTGGAGAGGAGCACAAGAGCTCTTAGGATTCCCAGTTTTTAATAAAACATCCTCATCCTACTTATCAGGGTTCCACTCTCATGATCTAATTGTCTCTGAACATCCTCACCTTCTAAGCTATCAGATTAGAATAGAGAATTCAATCTATGAATTTTGCCAATGTTCAATCCATTTCTTACCTCCAGTTATGTTTAATTCTTTAATTCTTTGCCAGAAAAAATGATCTGATAAGTCAAATGGAAATCCGCTAATGAGTGACTTGTCAGCCACGTCTCCTAGTTATCAGTGTCATTCAAAAGACTTATCTCACCCCCAAAAATCTTTTCATTCAAAGCATGAGATTTGAATATGGAAAAACTTAAACACAAATAATAGTACTTGAGAGAAATTTGGGGAGTTAAAACCCAGCCTAACCTCTCAAATCACAACCCAAGGACATTTGGGGACACAAATCAGACTCTGTAGGCTAACAGAGAGAGGGGGAGAGAGAAAGAGAGAGAGAGAGAGAGAGAGAGAACATTAAATTGGGTGGGAGGCAGAGGGGGGAGGTGTAGATAGGGGACAGTATCTAAATACCATCAAATTATATTGTATGAAAAATCACAAAAATTAAATAAAATAAGAGTCCTGTCTATAAATTATCTAAATATCTTTCTTCTTGCTGCCTGTAGATTCAAAATGATTGTTGTCTCCATTCATGAAATCTAGCTGGTTGCTTGTCATTTGTTAGTTTTTCTGAGCTACTTATCTGGCCAACTGTTGACTTCTGTCTTGTTCTAGGACTGTGGATGGCATGACATTTACAAGTTCCATTAAGGAGAAAACTGTGGGCCGAGCTCTTTACTCACAGGCAAGAGCAAAGGGCAAGACCGCTGGATGGGCGAGGTAAGAGCTGGGCGATCTGGACTTGCCTTCACATTTTCATGGCTGCTCTCCCTCCTGCCCCATCCTCCCAGGATACACAAGGCTCCAGAGAGCCATGGAGTCCAAGAAAATGGCAGATTCCTGTAGTCTGATGGTAGAACTGGGTGTCACAATGTCTATTTCCCTAAAGACTTTGGAAGCTTCTACGCAGGTTCTTCTTATTTCCCTTGGCTTGCAAGTAGATGAAGGCGCTATAAATAAATACTGATTTTTTTTCCCTGAAAAGTACAGAGATGAACCAAGAAATAGTGTACTGGTAATCTAGTTGCAAAACATACACAGAAGGAAAGGTTTGGGGTTGATTTTAATGATTTATTCTGCCCTATTTTTATGGGGTAGGGCCTTCTAAACA